ACTAGGTATCCAGAGTGGCTAGTTTTGTTTGTTCCATTCCCAAAATCAGCCAGCATTCTCGAAAAATGCAAAGCAATGGATCAGACCTGTAATTCTTCATGACAAAGCGGTTTTCATTCAGACAATTTAGACAATTACATTGAGTTTTATATGGCAGTGTGCTTCAAAGTCAGAAAAAATGGACAGAATATTTGTTTAATTTCCTTCATAAATGTCTATCTAATGTTAAAGTAAACATTTGTATTCTAAATACACATGGTCTTCATTCAAGGTACTTGTGTGTCTTTTATGCCTCTTTTATGTGTGGATTATTTGTTTTTATTTGAGAAACAGAAGCATGCTGAATGGACTCTGGATTGAATGTCTGCTTTCAACACAATTGTGACATGCAGCAAGTTCAATTTATTTTAAGAAAAACATACAAAATACATCATGTTTGAATCTGCCATGTGTCAGTTACTCATTTCCTGTGTTAAATGTCTGAAGTACGATTTCTTGACAGTTGGGTAGATTTCCCTTTATTCCAAAATCATGAGGAACATCAGCAGGTGAGCCAACATGTGCCATTGTTTCATTTGACTAATATAGATAAAGTTCTCATCCTTGAAAAGCAGTGTGCATATTTAAGTAATCACTGTTGTAAGATCAACTGTGGCTAGTAAGACGGAAAATGTATCCACTCTAGTGGCAATTAGCCGAAACACAACACATATTTGCATTGCATTACATTTGACTACAAAACAGTAGCACTGAACACTTGAACAAGCACAAAGGCAGAACAGTGGTTTTCACCAGTGAGGTTGATGGGTTATGGTCTGTCAAATTCAATGTACTCCTAAAGTTTTTTACTGTGGTTATTTTTTTTAAACATATTTGGGAGTCGTTCGTTAACAAGGCTGCACTGTTTCAGGATTCTGGAATCTGGGTAGACTTTATGTTATTCTGAGAATTTCAATGTTTGTTTAAAAAATATTTTTCATGCATACTTTCCTCATCATGAGGACACACCACCTTTTTTAACCTGAACTTTGGCTGTTCCACCTTTGGCAGCTCCAGAGATTAATAGTCAGAAGGTTATGTATTGTTTGGGTGTACGTTGTGGTTTCTACTATGTGTGTGTGCATGTGTGTGTGTGTGATAACTAAACATGCAATGCAATCAGTCTTTCTGTCATATCTATTCATTCAGTTTGTGTAATTGGAGATGAGGGCTTGAAAAATAAAAGCATTCGTGGTGTCAGCTGAAAAGGAAAGTCATTTCAGAAGATGAGCTAGTTACTACATATTTATAAAAAAGACAAACATTTTGGTTTATTTGTTAGAATTAGCTCTTATGAATTGTGGACAAAAAGACCTAGATCATAAAATGTAAATGGGGTCAATTTATATCTAATAGAAGATATTTTGAGAAATGTCTCAGAAATGTTTTTGTCTGTAGATTCAAAGGTCACCAAAAACTGTTGGGTGAAAAACATTCTTCAAAATATCTTCTTTTATATCTGATATAGCTATTTTTTAAGAAAGTTAGTCATGTTCTGAGGGTGAGAAAATGATAAAATTTTCATTTTTGGGTGAACTATCGGTAAGCAAACCAGAAGGTGAGGTGACAACTAATCATATTGTAAAGAAAAAGCAAATGCTACACACTCAGTGTACGCCTGAAGCTATGTGTGTGTATTAAAATAAGAATCAATTCTTGACTGAAATAGGAGCTAAAATGCATTTTCATTTTAGCTTACTGACAGATGGCTTAATTGCTTCTGTTGTAGAAATAAGTAAATTTTTATATGGCAAGCCTCACATACTTATCAGTTTAGCTCCTACCTAGGCAAATTACAACATATATCATTGCACATAAATATTTCATTACAAACAGAAATTGTATTTTAAGAAACAAATCCAGCAGCAACATAAATAATTTTAATTTATTTATTTTTTGAGTAACAGGATTGTGCATTTTCATTTCATGTTGACTTGAATATGCATAAGTTCATACTGAAATTTCACATATTTGAATACTTAATACACTGTAAAAAATTAATATTTTGAAGTAAAAACAGATTATTGCATTATGTTTTACAAGAACATACTATTTCAGTCTTTTTACTTTAAAGTTTTGTGTTTAATTTAATGTGTTGCTATATTTCTTGGTAATTAAATGCAAAATGTACTAGCATTTTTTGATTGAAAATTGTTTCTACACCAAATTGTGTACATGCATGTACTTGTACTTTGTATACATTCATATTAGTAAAATAGGAGCATCAGTGCTGAGCAAAGCAGACCCACTGTGTGTGAACCCCACTGCGAAGCGACTGGCGCATTTTCATGGAAAGCTTCTCTTTTAGGCCAGCAGGATTTCAATGCGCTCATTTACACATCAAAACAGTGCAGAAAAGGGATAGTTCTCTGGAAGGCAGGGGAGGGTGGAGGGGGTGGATGAGTGTAATGAGGGCTTCTTTTATTCTCTTTGCTCTCCCTCTCTCTCTTTCTTCTTTCCTGAGGGGTGGATGGATGGTTGTTGACTGATAAGCATGGCTGGGGTTCGGGTGGAGGTGGGTAAACACCTCATAAAGATCCTCTTTTAATCAAACACATGACCGGACAGGGTCTCTCACACTCCGCTCGGTCGGACAGACGAGAGCGTGGTTAACCGACCCGATCCCACCACTTGCAGCAGGACTAAAAAGTATCCGGACTCTTTAAGGTGCATTAGATAATAAAATATCAAACCAAGTGAATTTTGGTTTGAACAATGAATTTTAGAGTGGGCTATTTCTTTGTTTGATGGGCATCAAACAAAGGAAAAGTTCACTCCAAAATTCTGTTGGATTGATATTTGAGGTTTTGCCGTCTTCAAAGCTTATTTCAGGTTTGTGAAAGAGGAAGTGAGTGAGAGGATGTGAGTGAATGAGAATGCATGTTCTGCTCCAGTGTTGACCTCACATTTGTGGTTGGGCAGGTGCCTTTCCGACGTAAGCCACTGGCCTGAGTCATTTTAATTGGTGCCTTCACACACACACACACACACACACACACACACACACACAGTTTACTGACATTGTGATGGAGGTAATGCACCCCTCTAGAGAGGCAACCTGAGCTGAAAAATACCAAAACACTCTGTCATAAAATGCTAGCAGACCTCAACGGCCTGCTCTGAACCACTGGCTGCTGAAAGGATGTGTGTACTTGCCAAAGCTCTCTCAGAGGAGCCACTTTTACAATGTTGTGATGACGATGGGTAAATGACACATGCAGCTGTCAGTTTAAACAACAAAACAATGTGGCTTCAATAACCCACATAGACCTGTCAGAGATTGCCTGTAAAATATTACAGCAGTGTCAGAAATTACTATTATTTTCATATTTACCCTCTATAACTGATTGTGAGATGGCCTTTTTCGGAATCTAAGTATGGCTGTTAATTGTGAAATCAAATCAACATGGGTATATATAATGCACAGGATACATTCTAGATTTTGAATAGAACATTATAAAATATTGCAAAGTATAATATATAAATTTTTAAAATAATCTAATATATTTTGTATTTTTCTAAGACATATTTTATTTGAATTTTTGCCCCAGGCCCTGATAAATTTCTTTTTTTTTTTTCAATGATAATTTAAATGGTGGAAGAAATGTCTAAGGAAATGCTGCGGCATTTTATTTACATTTGCATGACCAGATAAATGGACCATTGTTTTATTGTATTAGTTAGCTGTATTTTTTATTTAATAGTTTTTTATTTTATTTAGCTGTTATTTTTACTTAATCAAAATAACCCAACTGCAGTTTGATTGAGATTAATTGGAATGCACAATTAAAAAACATGATTTTTGAAAACTGTTAAAAACTGAGTTATCTGTTTTTGCAGATGAACTCTTCATATATTTTTATAGTATACAGTGGGTACGGAAAGTATTCAGACCCCCTGGAAAAAAAATTTACTTAAATGATTTTAGCAAATGGCTGCAATATAACAAAGAGTGAAAAATTGATGGGGGTCTGAATACATTCCGTACCCACTGTATATTTTTACACATCAAAACAGTGCAGAAAACCCTCTAATTTCATTAATTGTGTTGACAATGGTGATGAATAACTTCACGAACTTTAACAAGAATTCAATTAAATATTTTACTATATATATATATACATATATGCAATATATGGGATCTGTTTGTTTTACATGACCTGTTTGCACAAATGGATTCACTAAAATGAATCAGACTTTCCAGCATTAAGAGAGAGGGCAGCTTAGGGCCATGTCTAGACTGTTCAGCAAAATGTTTCAAAATTCATAATTTAGACACACCTGCAGTTTCAGAGAACGTGGTTCATTATTTCAAGTTGCTTGCAGAAACAATGTAACATAAAAAAATGAAAATGTAGCACACTACACCAGTACTTGTTGGAAAAAATAGTTACTTACTTTAGCAAAATATAGTATATAACAGTAAATCTCACACCAGCACTACGTTTTCTGTTATCTCATGATTGAAATAATGTTGTAGTATTGTTGTTGCCGCCGCCATGTTGTGAAGGCGCTGTGTGTTTCGTTGTGAAAGCGAAACTACTTTGTTTGGTCTTCCAAAAGAGGACGATATCACTTCATCATGCCTGGAGCTGTGGATCGCTGGATCGGCTTTCACTGTGGACGAAGTGGAGTCCAGCCCCGGGTTGTCACATGTGGTTGCCGCAGGCATCACAATATGGTAAGGGATGTAACATTTCCGTCACACGCTTGAGGAATTCGGCCAATCACAACGCACTGGATAGCTGGCCAATCAGAGCACACCTCGCTTTTTCAGACCGATGAGCTTTGTAAAAATCGACGCGTTTCAGAAAGGCGGGCATAGAGGAGAAACAATAATGTACAGTATGTGGAAAATAATGTGTTTTTTGAACCTTAAACCGCATAAACACATTTCATTACACCAAATACACAAAATAATGTTCTTTTTAGCAACATCATATGACCCCTTTAATGGGTCTTGCTCATAGGCGTAGCTTGACGTTTGAGTTTGGGGGGGCCAAACCAAACTGGTGGATTTGGTCAGACGTACTTTTAAACAGATTTTAGTTTTGCTATTTTGTCAACTAAACTTAGCAATAAACACGTTTAAAATGCACAATAAACATGTCTGTCAAAACGATCTCAAAGGAGGCTTTTATTAAGCAAATCAAGGAGTGAATTACTCATCCACTGTTTTTAAAACAGACATTTGTTGGGTTTGATTCGTTAATGCACAATGAGGCGCACACTTTTTATTTAGTCTTATTGAATAGACGATAAACAGTTTATATTCTAAAATCTATTTAAAGGTTGTGTTCTGTGAAAATTAAATAACATTTGGATGTAAATGGTCGGCATAAAAGTAGTGTGCGGCTAAACCGGCTGCGTCCTGTGAGATCACCTTTATCTGATTGTCCGAGTCCGGAATCATTAAGCACGGCATTAATATCTTCATCTGAGTTTTTCGTTGTCTCCAGATTTCTCTGCAGTTCGTGTATGTTGTTAAAAATGCGGAACATCATTTTATTCCACACAACAAGCAAGCACTACCGTTAAGTCCATTATCCACCAAAATGCAGATTTGTCACGTGACAATTCTTACACAAATGAGATTGAGGGAGACGTTAAGTTTGTTTTGATTTATTAATTTACTTACAATAACAATTTAAAATGTATTTACTTTTACGTATTCACTTTTACATGTATTATTAACTGCATTATATACATTTTTACTTCATAGAAAAAACTTTATAAATAAATATTTAGTAAAATTCTTAAATCGCTATGGGGGAGCCAGGCCCCCCTGGCCCCCCCACAAGCTACGCCCATGGTCTTGCTATAGCTAGAGTTGTATTCAGACTATTCAAATTTTGAGAATAGAAGACCAAACACCCAATTCTTTTGAGGGATATGTAACGTTCATCCATGCCATAGACATATATAAATATGATAAAAATATATATTTAAAATGAATGCTACATACATAGCCTGTTGGTTTGGTATATCCATACATTTTCTAATAATGCTTCTTTTTTTAAACCAAGCTCAAAAAAAAAAGATCAAAAACAAACATGCAATGGCATACGAATGAATCATCAAAACCCAGATCCACTGCTACAAACGGGCGGGGGTAGGGTGAGGAAAATACAATTCAAGCAGCTATCGGAGCCCTACATGCTCCAGATCAAGCGTCGGAGAAAAGTGCCTTTATTTGCATGAGTGGCTCACATCAAAGAGCGGAGGGGGAAGAGAGAAGCAACACACAACAATAGGAGAATCTGGATGTGTGTGTGTGTGCATGTGGTGCACCTCATTAATGAAATATAATTCCAGAACAACCTCTGCGTTTAAAGGTGATGTTGTGAACGTTCGCACAGAGAAATCCAGGCTACTGTCTGTCGCTCTGCTCAACGATTCCCTTTGAGGACGAAGGAGAGAAAACCACCAGGGATTTCTGTTCTGGTAAACGCGCTCAAAGGAAAGCGCGCCCAAAGCAGCTGCATCTGTCATATGGAGGGGAATTAAAGAGAGAAAATAGAGCAAACGGCTAAAAGGAATAAAAAAAAAAAAGAACATGGAGTATAACACGATGCATAAACAATGTGCTAAAACAAAAATGAGGCCTTCACTACAAGCTTAATCTCCATGATCCAAGCTTAGTCACAACTCTGACCAATAGTCCCCTAAAACTGACAACATAGATTTATTTGTGTCAGGGGCATACAAAGCCACATAGCCTTGTGTTATTCGGGGGTAGCCCACTCTTTTGAAGGCTCTTGAAAGGGTCCCTCAAGGATCGATTTGCATTTAAACTGAGGCAACCTTTCAGATGCAAACCTGGCTTTCTTCATCAAAATATTTGCATTGCTTTGACGCATTTTCTTGTTACAGTTCATGTGAAAAGTCTCACCAAGGCACTTCTCTTTAACTTCCACCTCTAAATAGATGCAAACACAAGCGTCTGGGCACAACAAGCACTTCAGTGAAATTGAAATAATACTGTTATTTTGTGTAGCAACACCAAAACAAAAGTGCAGTTTGTCTTTGTAGGAGTAGATAGCGTTTAAGTGAGCAATGAACTCTTGAAATGCCTACTTCAAAGAAGAAATGTCAGACAACTGTTGAAAATATATAACATTTTATTATGTTCTTCTTCAAAAAGGCACTTGTTAACAGACTGATCAATACCATCTTGTGAGAAACCAAGACAAACACAATTAAATATATATATATGTATATATACAATAAATAGAGGTCCTGAAACATTGGAACAAGTAATTAAACATATTAACAAGTCATCGAACAGCTTTTAGATGGGGACACTGTGCACTTCTCCATGCAAGAGCGATTGCAGATATTTATAACTGATTAGGATGTGCATATCTGTCTCTTTTTGTGCTACAGCAAGCAATGATAAAATTCTCCCTTTAACTAACAAGTACTGTTAATCCATTGTTTAGCTGCAATGTTGGGTTTTAAGTTTGTTTACTTCACCACAAAGCTTCATATGCCATATGTCTTATTCTCACATAGTCCATAGTACGGTTCATCACAGATGAGGCCACAGTCTCAGTGCTGCGCTCATACGTGTGTGGGACAGTCCAAGTAGGGATCAGTCTTTGACATGTGCAGTATAACGGCAGGTGCTTTGTAGTGGCAGTGACTGGTGCTGCAGCTCCCGCTGCAGTGCTTCCTGCAAGTCCTGTCTGTCAACTTCCTGCTACACAGCCCCTGCCAAGTCTGCAGCGTCTTGGAGCTCCAGACCCACACGCCACTGGTGATGCCCACCACCAGTGACATGAAGATCTTCAGCATGAACACAGCCACGGTGGGCACCGAAGACTCCAGGGAGCAGTCCTCGTTCCTCCGACCCGGGAATGTGGTGCACTTGCTTTGCAGCCCTCGAAATTTCCAGTAGTCCATGTTGAGACGTTCGTAGAAGTAGCAAATGATGACGCAGGTGGCGGGAACTGTGTACAGGATGGAGTAGATGCCGATTTTCACCATCAGCTTTTCTAGCTTTTCTGTGTTGGTGCCTTCGGTCTTCATAACCTTTCGGATGTGGAAAAGCGCCACAAAGCCGGTCAGGATGAAAGATGTCCCGATGACGAGGTAGCAGGACAGGGGCACGAGGACGAAGCCCGTTAGCGCCCCCACATCCATACTGCCCACGTAGCACAGTCCGGTGAGCTCGTCGCCTGCCACTTTCCGCATGGTGAGGATGACTATGGTCTTCAGCGCAGGTATGCCCCAGGCAGCCATGTGGAAGTAGCTGCTGTGCGACTCGATAGCCTCGTGACCCCATTTCTTACCTGCCGCCAGGAACCAAGTGAGGGTGAGGATGACCCACCAGATGGAGCTTGCCATGCCAAAATAGTAGAGGATGAGGAAGACTATGGTGCAACCTGTACTTTCCAGGCCCTCTTGGATAATATACAACTCGCCGTTCTCACGGTCACACGCAATGTTCTCCGCCCCAGCGACGGATCGAATGATGAAGGCGACTGAGTAAACGTTGTAGCACATGGAGAGGAAGATGATGGGCCGCTCTGGGTACTGGAAGCGATGTGGGTCAAGCAGGAAGGTTAGGACTGTGAAAGCTGTGGATATGAAGCACAGAGTGGACCAAACCGCCATCCAAATGAAAGCAAAGTCCTTGTCCTGTCTGGACCAGAACACATCCACAGCTGATGAGCAGCGCGGAGCGCACGTCTCGCTCTTTTCCACATACTGGAACTTTTCCGGGTTCTCACAAACTCCCATGCTTCCCCCTGAGCGTCCGTTCCCAGCGCCGGGCTGCTTTGGTCTGGGCGGCACAGGCAACATGCCCTCTCCTTTCTTAGTTTCGGTTTTGGTATCATTTTCCGGGGCTTCCATGCACAGCGCGTTGGGGTCATTTCTGGTGGGCAGTTTAGAGCAGTCCAAAGAATCAGGCCAGGCGTAATTAAACTTCTCCATGATGGGCGAGCACTTCTGACGTGCCTGTTCGCACATGGGACGGCAGGCAGGGATGGATGTGGACACTTGGTCCGTACACATAGGGGCATAAAGAGAGCAGAGGAAAAATCTCAAATGCACATCACAACCATATTCCACCAGAGGGGCAAATTCATTCAGCTTAATCGCAGCTTCCCTCTGATTGTTATGGTCCATAAAGTTGGGCATCCGGGTGAGGTTGTACCCGATGCCCTGGCACATAGGGATGACGATAGGCTCGCATTTAGCCGGTCTCCCTCTCTCCAGGTCATAGGAGCCAATCTCTAAACTGTAGGCAGCAATGACCAGCTGACACCACAGAGAAATCACAATTTTCACAGGTGAGCCTCCCATGCTGGATTTTCAGTCACCTTTTTTGAATGAGGCAAGTCAGTGGAAACTTTCCTGGCATATACAGTCCCAAGAGAGGATACTTTTGTGTGTTATGGGTGATTATGCAGCTCCATAGGCACCGCTTAGATTAAAAGTGCTTCAATGAATATTTCATTTGTCCTCCAGTTAAAACGCTGAAAAACAGATATTCCTCTAAATGAAACTTCTCTGAAAAAATATCCCTTTTCAAAGTCTGCATATCATATAAAATGATGCTTAATGTCCAAACTCGTCATATGTTTCTATGAAAAACGCGCGTGCAGTCACTTAAAACACTAATATTTCACGTCAGTCGTTACCGTCATTATTAGGACAAATGAGGGCATCAGGAGGAGCTCAGCAAGAGAAATAACAAATTTGTCCTCGTCTCCAGTAACCTCCGAACTTCTGTGAAGCGTGTGGTCCGTCAGCAGCTCCTGCGTCCTCCTCACATCTCTACTGGCGCACACTGAACTTTCGCTCTCCTCGCTCGATGTCCTCTAATAAGGGGGCGGGGTATTCATGACGCACTCTCGTGGTTCCTCCTACACACTTCTGAAAAGCCAATGACGTCGAGAATGTGCTCCGCCTTCTTACAACTGAAAATATATTGCGTAAATCGTGGCTCCGCCCACCTACAACCGAGAAGGCGCTCAATAAAACACAAACTCTCAATCTGGAGATCTACCTTTGGACAAATGTATCATGGTAATCATAGGTTCAGTCAAAATGCAATATTATTGTTGCTCCAACAAATGAAAACAATTAATTGTGTGATCTCATTCAAACAGAGTAAGAACTTTTTCTTTCTTTCTTTCTTTCTTTTTTATTTATTATTACAATGGTATACGGTTACTTTTACTACACTCTTATATATATTTGCTAATAAAAAAATCATCTGTCTTATTTATTCCAAGACTCATTAATCACAAATGCTCAGTTCTCAAGCCAGACATTTGGTCAAAATAAAACAAGCCAGATTAGAAATCCCTTCTGTTTGATGTGGTTACAGTGGGCATTTAAACCTTTTCACCCGCGGTGTTAGATTGTGAGCAGTTATCAGATTTGGATTTGGCATGCTAAGCCTCACTTAGCCTGAAAGAGCACAGAGTGAGTCTGATACCCCTCCAGCCCAGAAAGGAAATACGTACCAGACAGAATGATTTTTATCATCCTCAGCGTTTGCACGTCAGACCCCAATCCTATCCAGTTTTGGAATAATGAACACTAATATAACATTTACGAAAACACTTGAATTCAAATCCAACTTGCATTGCATAACAGTCATTGCAATCCCTGGAAATCAAACCAATGACCTTGGTGTTGCTAGTATCACGTTAAAGGAATAGTTCACCCAAACATGAAAATTAGCTGAAAATGTACTCACCCTCAGGCCAGCCAAAATGTAGATGAATTTGTTTCTTCATCAGAACAGATTTGGAAAAAATTAGCATCACATCACTTGCTCACCAATGGCTCCTCCACAGTGAATGGGTGCCGTCAGAATGAGAGTCCAAACAGCTGATAAAAACATCATGATAATCC